ATATATATATATATATATATATATTTATTCGGGCCTCTATTCTAGATTTCTACATTTGGTTGGTTGACCATTACAACAACACACCAAGCCTTGTCTCCAAAGAATTTGGGGTCGGCTACATGAAATCTATCCTCCGCATCGTTTGATTGTATAGATTTTCCTTGACATATGATTTAGATATTTTTCTTCGTAATGTTTCTAACAACATTTAACACGAGAAAATTTTATGAAACTCGCAATGCTTGGCATTCTGGATGGTGGGGACTGAAATTCCTTATACTGATGATATCATTGGCGATTCCATTCTTCATTCCCTCATATTACATTCAAATATACGGTATGATAGTTATAAACGCAATTCCTTAAGTTTTCTTGAGCAAACTTTGTATTGGTAATTACTGAAGTTGCAACTATAAAGCTTTCTTCAAAGCAATATGGAAATTTGTCTCGCGAACCCCATTATTCCTTTCTAAAGTGTCGTCCCATCATTTTCTCTTCTTCCGTCCTGTTATGTAAAAGGTTATTCCTGTCCTTTTTGCAGGTGAACTTGCTCGTGTTGGTGCAGGGTAACCTTCAAATCCTTGAAAACTTCTTTGACCTGAAAACGCCATCAATCAAGTTCCCGACTTATCCCTATATCAGCATTACTGTTATTCAAAACTAAAAAGAACTCTCTGTTACAGTGCATAAAAAGTAAAGGGTAGATGAAGAAGTATGATGTCAATTATTTATTAACTCATGGTGCAGGGTTTTTCTGATTCTGCAGCTCATAAGTGTCATTGAGTTTATCACCTGGTGGAATAACTATTGGATGCCTGATGACAGAAATAAATCTAGGTACACACTTTTTGTTTCTAGAAACTATGTACTTACGAGATTTCATCTTAGAAAAAGATCCAGGCTATCGGGCACATTTACCCCTTTTCTTTAAATTTCGATGGCAGCTGTTCCCTCGGATTATTCATGTCAACACTATTTTATATAGTCTCTGTATGTGGCCTGGTGGTGATGTACATGCTTTATGCCTCAAAACCATCGTGCGCTCTTAACATATTCTTCATCACGTGGACTGTGATTTTGCTAGTCGTGATGATGGTTATATCCTTGCATTCCAAGGTAAATCTATTTCACCAAAAATAAAAAAATAAAAAAAAAATAAAAAAAAATGTAGAAAAAATCTTCAAATCTATTCAAGTTGTGGCAGATTCAATAAAGACAAACAAACTTATTAAATGACTCAATTCAGGTGAATAGAGGCCTTCTCTCTTCAGGGATCATGGCATCTTATATTGTATTCCTTTGTTGGACTGCTATCAGAAGGTAACAATGGTATTCTCTATTGGTAAAAAAATACCCCTTTTGATATCTCCCCATGCCGAGTCTTCTTTAAAGGGATCCTTTAATCTTGACACTCGTCCAACCTATACACGTGGTAGGGGTCATTGGATTGCACTACTATTATGATATCCAATACTGTTTACCAAACATGCACTAAAAACGATCACGTGAGAACTAGTTGAAATTGTCAGAGGCCGTTTAACATATACATTTCACCAGGAAACTCATACATTGGTTTGATATGCACAAATTGGTTTTCTAAGATTTTGTTTTATCCTTAGATTTTTCCGTCTATTCGCTTTCCATCCCACGCCACTAGTTGTTACTAGCTTTCATCAAGTCACTTTCTTCTTGAATTG